AATTAAACCTTATTTTCAATAAGCAATCCTGAAAAATATTTGGGGGTGCTTAACTTTTTTCCAGGTGTATATTTAGCTTTTTTTTCCTTATATTTAAATTAAGAAATTAAAACAAATATAATATTAAAATTTGAATTACAAACTAAATTTATGTCAATTCCATTGACATAAGTAATAGTAAAGTTATTTAATAAAATGTTGAAAATGTTATGGTATGTGCTTTTTGACCTGCTCGCAGTAAAAGAGGTAATTGGATGGAAGAGTAACTGGATGGCAGAAAGCAGATGGATGTTATAAACAGAGTTTAGTCAAACTGAATTAATATCACAAACAGGATATCTCAGGGCTCAGTCTTAGGATCTTTGCTGTTTTTGATTTACATCAGTGACACAGATGAAGGAATGGTCAATAAATTACTTATATTTGCTGATGTTGTTAAGATCTTGGGTGTTGCTAACTGTGAAGAGGGTGCTGCTGCTTTACAAAAGAATTTAGGTCATTTAGTGAAATGAGCAAATAAATGGCAGAAGGCTTTTAGTTATAATAAATGCAAAATAATGCATGTGGGTTATCATAATATGAATTATAAGTATAATTTGGATGGGAAACTCTTAACAGTGTCATGAAAGAAATGGATTTTGGTGTAATGGTTCATCAGTTTCTTAAGACATCCAATCAATATGCTGTTACTAGGGTTAGAGTAAATAGGATTTTTGGTTGTATCTACAGAAATATTGAATACAAGTCTAAAGAGGTTATAATTTCATTCTATAGGTCACTGGTTAGGCCACATTTGAAATATTGTGTTCAGTCTTGGGCTCCTTTCCTTAGGAAATACATTAAATTGTTGGAAAGGGTTCAGAAGACGGTTACTAGAATGGTGCCTGGGATGGAGGGGGTTGTCATATGGGGAGAGATTAAGGTCTCTGAAATTTTATCCTGAAAAAAGAAGAGTAAGAGGGGATCTTATTGAGGTGTTTAAGATTGTAAAGGGAATTGTTAGTGTTAATGCATCACCTTTTTTCATACTTAAAAGCAAGAATAGTTGGCAGGGTAGGAGTAATCTTCAATTATTTTTCTAACATGGCATTTGGCCTTTGGAACAGGTTGCTTTCGAATTTTGTGGAGGCAGTAAATCTAAGCGAGCTTAAGAGAAAGCTTGATAGCTATATGAATGATAAGAGATGGCTTTAAGATTTTTTCTTTAGTTTATTTATTTAATAGTTTTAGTTTAGAGGATGGAATAGCCGAAATGGACCAATAGTTCCCTTGTTGTCTCTAAACATTACGTTATGTTATGGTTACTTTGGTGGTTTCATACTGAGTGCAATGCACCCTGCTCCATTATTCAAAGAATTAAGAGAAAGTATGGTCACAATTATTTAAATCATTTTGGTATCTTCAGATACTACTAGAACTGTTTAACAAGAGGTCTGCGAATAAGGTTTCAGTCAGAATCTAAGGTAAGGCTCTCTCTCTCTTTCTCACAACACACACACACATTCATTACAGAAATTTGAAATATTACAATACAAATTTGAGCAACTTTGAAGGATGGTCCCTTCTTCAACACAAACAAAGGATTTGATTAGATATACCTTAAAATTTGAAAGTTTTAATCATTCTCATCAGGTAAAACTACCATCTCTTAAGTACAAAGCACAAAATAAGAAAGTTTAAATACAAACTTGGCTTCTAAAGCTAGAGCACAGATAGCAGCAGCAATAGGAGCAGAAGCAGAGGTGCCAGTGTGGGACTCTGTGCACAACTCACTAGGATTGGATTTCACTCCCTTTTTAAAATTTTGTACATAATCCACATTCATGTCCACAGTAACCTGAAAAAGTAACAATTTCAAAAAATCATATTCAACCACCTTCATAACGTACACTATACATTCAACCAAATGCTACAAGTATTGTCAGAAACCCTAATTTGATGACTTGAAATTACAGTTTCATTTACAGTTAAATCTACAGTTTAATATAATCTGTTAATTTTGTAGTATAATGAAACAAAATACAGTATTCAACACACGTGTGTGTATATATATATACACGCACTAATGGCCCATTATGTGTTTATATGTGACTACTTAACCGATCTTTCTTAAAAAAACAAGTAGCAGTTGACTTAAATAGAACCCTTTAATCCTTCCCACAAATTCAAATTTTAGTATTAAACATTAGTTAATTTCCTAATTTAAAAGTAAATATTAGAAAAAACAAAGATAAACATCGATTTTTTTGTGTCGTGTGGTATATTGAATGTAGCACTGGTTCAAATTAGATGTTTGTGATGTCAAAATACAAAGTCTATAGTTTTGTACAAATTAGGAACT